GGCATTACCCCTTTTGTTCCTCAGTTTTGCTGGGACTAGATGAAGGTGCAGCTTCCAACATGTGTCTTTAGTATGCTTGGGTTTCTTGCAATGTTCACACACTAGATCCYGCTTATCTTCCTTCTTYATRTCCCTTTCTGTATCACCCCCAGACTTAGGTTTAACTGCTGCCAAGGCTGGTGGGAAGGGTCGATGCTACATCATAACCTTTCTCCTAGTCTCTTCACTATGCACCAAGGAGTAGGCTTTAGATAAGGTCACACTGTCCCTTGTTAGTATTTGTTCTCTCACAATATCATAGTCAGGATTCAGACCAGCTAGGGATTCAAAAACCCTATTAGTTTCAACTTGCTTTCTATGAATCTGTGCATCCTTCTGACTTTCCCACTCAAGTGTTTCTAGGTGGTCAATTTCATGCCACAAAGATTTCGAAGTAGAGAAGTAAACGGAGACTGGTTTCTCTCCTTGCTTAAGGTTATTAACCTCACACTTCAATTCATAGGCCCTAGCAACATTAAAGGGTTGAGAGTAAGTCTCTTTCATGACATCCCAAATTTCCTTGGCTGTTTTTGCCCACAAATAGTTCTGGCTGATATGTGGCTGCATAGAATTGCACAGACATGTCATAACCAAATAGTTCTCCTAAACCCATTTGGTATAAATTTGGTCCTCCCTAGATGGTTCTTTCACATCTCCCAACAGGTAGCTAAGTTTTCCTCTACCCCCAATGGCCATCATGGCCGATTGAGCCCATTCTACGTAGTTGGATCCATCAAACTTCACAGTTGTAATCTGAAAGACATTTTCAGACATTTTACCATAATTGCTAGTCCCAAAAACACCTTCCCCCTGATTCTTGAACTCCATTCTTGGTCAAGAATTAGCAATAAAAAACTTTTGAAGCTACTGTAATAGAAAAAACAGCACCTAAACAACTGATAACAACCAGCCTAGGTCTTCCAAAAACAAGGAAAAACAAAATTCTGTATGAAACCAGTTCAAATCTGATCTGAAACCAACAACAGTTCTGAATTTTAGGGTTTTCTCTCAAAACCCTAGAAAGAAAAAAAAGGTTTTCCAGCCGCACCTCTCAGAACAGACCAAGATGATTCTTTCAAGGTTATTCTCAAGCAAAAAAAACTTACTTTATGAAAGAAAATCTCTGGCCGCCACCTTCTGTCTTATGCAGAACCCTAATCTTGGGGATTCGAAGCCTTTTTTAATTCTTCCTGACTACTAGAACTCTCCCAGCCTTCTACAATCTTCTTAGTAGTAGCCGCACAGTACTAGTAGCCTCCAAGAATCAGTCGATCCTCCTTTGTTGAAAAACTTTTAAACCTGGGAAATTCTCATGTAGTCAATCTAATTAGACTAACATAAGACCACCTTCTCTACAACCAGTTTTAGGTTTTGAACAGAAATTCTGATTGCCACCTTCATTCTTGATAAAGAACCTGATCTTGGACTCTTTATCTTTCTCTGATTCTTCCTGATTATCAAGAACACAATCCACTCTTTGGACAGCTGCTACAGTCTCTGATAACCTCCAAGAATCAGCCGAAAAAGGGAGAAACCCTAATCCTTGCTCTGATACCAAATAGTCGATCAAGACTACAATCAGTCTTGAATTCGAAAGCAAAAAGAAAGATTTCAGAAGAAAAGAAGAAGAAAGGGAGAAAAGAAGTACACGAAGGGTTTTTGAAAAGAGAGAGAGGGTCATATATGTTGACTAATTGTAAAAGGGCTGAATTTCCCTTATTGCTTACATGGCAAATAAACTAATAAAAAAGCTGAAATAACAAGTTGTAACAACAAACTGAAATAACTACCAACACTGACACAACTAACAAAAAACATATTCTATGCTGCCAATACGAACACAGTGGGGACCACAGCAGTGGGGTCCACATCAGTGTTCTCTACATTTTTTTTATTAATTATTAATTATTTTAATTTTTATTAACTATTAAATATTTTAATAGTTTTAAGATACTAATTTGATAATTATTAAATATTTTTTCATTGCTTCATGGACTTTATTACTATTTTCATTATCATTTTAACGCTTAATAATTTATTTTTAATTTATAAATTTATATGTATTTTTCAATTTTATTCTTATTTTAATATAATCTTTTTTATTTTTTATAATTTACTCATATTTTTCAATATTATTTTGAATTTAATAAATTATTTTTTATGAACTAATGCAAATTGAACTCCAAAATACCAAATAGTCTGTTTTAGGGGTAAAATAGTAAAATCACGAAATTATAGATGCTGAAGGTTTGATCTAACACAAACAACCTTATCTATTTAGAGCCTCTAAAAAGTAGAAAAGCATCTATGCCTCTTTTGAGATTTCAGACACTGAATATCATTTTAACTTTTACAGATTTCAGATTTATCAAACGCCACCTTTTTACCAATCAACCAATCTATCTATACATGCAAATACAATTATACATACAGACATAAATACACACACACACACACACACAGATTGGGTATTTGGGCCATGTGGGCCTTAATCTTCTTGCTTGAATTTTTTATTTTTAGTTGTATTTGTGTTAATGGGCCTGTTAACTTTTAATTTGTCTTTACGAGCTGGCTGCCCTAATAAAAATTAAGGAACTGGAGAGACTAGAGAGATCATCTAACTCTCTCTCTCTCTCTCTCCTCTCAAAAAGTTATTTGGCAGGGACACAACCCCCCTAAAGAGTTTCTTCTTGACAGGTAATACATTTGAAGATTGATGGTTGTAACTTGTGAGGTTCTTCAGTAAAGAATAACTAATTAGTGTATTTCTCCCCACATGTGCTCTTTGTGTAAAGCAAGTTGCACAACCATAAGCAATTTGCTAATGTCCTCCTCAGGCACCAATATTTATAATCTAGAGTTAGGGCTACCACCTCAACCCAGTTGCTATCCAATCCCATGTAAGTTGGATGTTAGTTAGGTTTAACTCCTGCACATGCTCCATTATGTAAGAGTTGGTGGTTTTGCCAAAGAGCCCACTATTACAATAGGATATGGGCCTAATATTGGTACACTCGGATCCTTAGGCCATGGGTCAAATCCATTTAAACCTAGCCATTGAGCCTATGGAGGCCCATGTTAGCTTTTAAGGCTTCTTTGTAGGAAAGAACCTATTTCATGGACTGAAAAGGTTTTTTTTTTTTTTTGATAAATGACTGAAAGGTTTTTTTATGCCCACAAGTTTCTTTTGAGTCTAATCTGAGGGTTTGTTCTATTTCCCAAGGGTATGGAGAGTTAGGATTTTTTTATCCTTTTGTAGGGAGATTTAAAATGGATCAAATGTGTATATATTAGGTCTCTTAGCCTTTTTTAGGTGCAGGTAGGGAAGGTTTTTTTTTTCTTGTCCCTACATCCTTCCCCCATTCTTCTGTATTCTTCTCTTTTCTTTTTAAAAGAGGTTGTTACCTATGGGGAAAGAAAAGCCATGACCAGGTGGCCCTACAGTTAAGTGTCCCAAAAAATAGCATAATCATGATAACTTCAATATTGATTCACTTCCAAATAAATGTTAGGAAACAAAAGTATGGAATCTAAATCAGCAAGTTATACCAAAAGAAAAAAGAAAAAAAAAAAAAAAAAAAACTAAGGGATTGTTCGAGAATGTTAATGGTTCCGTTTTAAAAGCAAAACTACTCGCATTGTCAAAATCCCCCTAAATCAGCAAGCGGGTAAGAGAGACACAAATCCGAACAAAAATTAAGCAAGGATGGTAGAAGTTGCCTGTCACCGTTGGAATGTTAAATGTATAACTCAGAATCCTAGTGTAACTTAGAAGATCCCACACTCGTAAGTTCCCATCAACATGAAGCACAAAAATCAATTTGTTTCCATGCACCTCCAGTACTGCTAAATCCAGCACAGCTCCAACTGTCCTACCCCTACACGTTGTGCAAAATACATGTAATACTACAATTTAATAAATAGCAAAAAGTAATTGATTGCATTAAGCTAAAAAGATCATTGCTTTGACCTTACAAATGAGCAGCATAATAATCCAAATAAAAAAGATAACCAATTAAAGTTGTGATAAGATTAAAATAGAGGGGAGAATTCAATGTCTTACAGGCACTATATATGGGACTTACTTTTATGGCATGGATTTATATTCCATTCAATTCTAGGAATTGCATGCTATTTCTTTCAGTGTGGTAACATGACAACAATTAGTGCGCTGTTTTTTACTGTCACTATTAGTGCAGTGCTCAAGTACAATATTTAGTTTTAATTTAAAGAAATACCAAAGCTTGATTACAATAAATATTACAAGGAACTCTAAAGACGTGTTAGATGCAATTCAATGGATTACTCTCAAGCATAAGAAGCATTACTGAAAGAAGAAGGTAGTAATTTTAACGGTTTATCTCATCATCAAACTAAGCTTTTATCTGAATCCAGTCCACCCCTCCCAAGATACCAAATAGCCAACACCAGAACAAAATAAAAATTGCATTTGTCATCGTAAGAAACGTGTTTAGGGGAATAATAGGATGATGAAAGCAAACTATATGAAAGGTGTTTAAAGATACAGTGAGCAGTACACTTTCTTTTACCTTTACTTCAGCAATAGGTGCTAAAGAACGAATTTTGGGCATGTTGCTTCATTGACTGGAGGTGTAAGAAGCTCAACTGAAGATGTGGGAACAACTTGCTCATGATTGTGCCTATACCATTTGTACCACCACTGTATGACAGAGGCAGAAATAAAGGTAGGAGGATTAACAAGTGGAGGAACAGGAATAGAAGCGGTAGGAGAAAATGAGGACTCAACAGGAGGAGCAAGAGAAGACTCAACAGGAACAATAGAAGACTCATCAACAGATTCAACAAGGGCATGAATGGGAAAAGCAAGATCAAACAATTCAATGGAATGCTCACCTTAGAAGGAAAGCTATAGAAACTAACTCTACAAAAATGACATCCATTGAAACAAATCAGGTACCATTAACAGGATCATAACAACAATAACCCTTCTGTGTGTAGGCATAACCAAGGAAGATGCATTTCCAAGCCTTAGGTTCAAACTTGTGCCTTTTAGAGCTAGGAATATGGACATAACGAGTGCACCCAAAGATACAAAGAGGAAGAAAAAATGTTAGTATTAGGGAAAAGAAAACTAGAAAGAGACTAAAGTCCCAACACTCTAGATGGCATATAATTGATTACATAGGTGCTTGTAAATACTGTATCCCCCAAAAACTTTGCAAGGACATGGGAGTCAAACATAATATTTCTGGCAACTTTTCAACAATATGATGTTTTTCCATCTCTACCACTCCATTTTGTGGAGCATAGGTACATAAGCTTTGAGGAACATCCCCAAAATTTTCAAAATAGGAAGAGAAACTTCTCAAAATAATCCTTAGCATCATCAAAATGGAATATTCTAATACAAATATCCAACTGAGTAAGAACAATAGAATTGCTTTACAATTTTTGGAACTTCATCATGAGATCGCATCAAATAAATCCATATATATTTGGAAAAAATATCAATGAATAAGATAAAAGCCTTGAAGTAATTCCTACTACCACCACCTCTTCTATCACATCTTTTTTTCTATATGAAGCGTAATTATAGGAAATTGATAATTTCAACCATAGAACATTAAACTATTTTTCCCCTTTACAATAGTTTTTCAAACACTTTTAGTGTTTACTGTAAAAGAACAAAAATTAAACTACTTTCTTATACAAGATTACATTTAGAAAAAAGAATACCTAGCCATAAGACCCCACAAACGACCAATCCCAACATCATCTCGCAATTCATGCATGAAACCTGCACACCAATGGCATATGCCATACATGGAATATAAAACCATCACAACAATATGAGAAATGATATACAAAATACAAAAATAAATAAATAAATGCATGGTTTACAATATCCATAAATTCCATAATATTTCTGTTGTTAGACAGTTTTGTATGCCCTTAGCTTCAATCAGAATGATGTACTTTATGAGTTTATTGTAAATGAATAAAAGTGCATATTTGATTCATGT